CCTCACATATCCCTATAAGAAAACTAAAAATTCATCATCATCATGGGTCAATGGGACTGACGTTTGAATTGACCAATTAGAGCTGTATATGTTTCAATCCATTATTTGCACACATGGACTAAATCAAAGACTAGGATAAGAAGTATTTCTCTATAATATTCTATTCCTGAACACATTCATGGAGATAGTCTTTTGAGCAAACTTAGCTGTCTCCCAGATGTTGTCATCCATAATAAAGCCTTTCTCTTCAACATATCTCATTGGTCAGAGTTTGAATTTTCCAATGGGTAGTCACTGTTGTCAATCAGTACCTACTTTGATTCATAAAAAATACACACCCATCTCTTCCCAGAATTCCAGTTTTTTATGTCTTAGATTGCCTACCAATTACCTTTCACTTTCTCTCACCCTTCCCATGCAAGGTTCTAGACTATTCCAGAATCTACTTGTCAGTACAACCCTTAGTACTTCTAACTAACTCTCAGGCTCAATCTAAAAAGAAAAGAGATATTTTATAGTTTCATCAACTGCACTAGGGAGAAATGTTCACATACTGAAATACTCACTTTGTAAGTTAAACAATGTGACTGAATGTATAAAAGAAAATGAAATAAAAAAGAATCTAATGATGAAAGAAATAAATATAAAATAAAAAGAAATAAAAAAGAAGAAAGAGAAGAAAAGACAAAGGAAAATACAAGATCCAAGCTTATGGCATTTATTCACAATTTTGGCTAACTCAAGACATAACTGTAACCAGTTAAATTACCTTTATTTTTCCTTTTACTTTTGGAGAGGTTTTTTTTTTTTTTTTTGCTATAGGGAATGTGTGTTCACCAGAAAGACATAGATAGACAGAGAGAGAGAAAGCAAGGAATCACCCCTCAGGGGGGATGGCCACGCCACAATCCCTTCTCCTCCATTCTTCTCTCAGGATCTTGGGCATACATACACAGAGCTGGGGTCAGTTAAGTCCCAGGTCTGGGACTCGAACCATGGTCGACTACATGGGAGTCCAGTGACATAGCATTATGCCAACTGTTGGTCCCTCCTTTATTTTTCCTTTTATTCTTTTTATACTCTCTTTCTGCACTCTAATTACTCATGTTCCTCACTAACCACAACTCCCAGACTGTGTCTGAGTCTGCATTACCCAGCAGAGTTGAGTACTCCATAAATATTTGCAAACTGATTGTTGACAATGTCAACCATCTTCCTGATCTTATCTAGCAACACTTTGGATTCTAAACATTTGAAAGAAAAATTAAAACTGAACCTTATAATTTTTCTCAAAAGTAGAAGAGAAAGTAATACTTCTTAATGTGTTATAAGAGGTCAGTATTACACTGACAATCAAACTAGACAGAAATATAATAAGAAATGAAAATATAGAGCAATATCCCTTATGAGTATAGACACAACAATCTTCCAAATACCAGCAAACCACATCAAAGCAATATATTGAATAGTATTACTCACCATATGTTGATTTCTCAAACGAGAACCCCCAGCCAAGAGGAAGCCATCTAGAAAAGAATACCAATTCACAGTCCCCCCAATAAATAAGGCTGTAAAGGGTAAGTATGTGAGAACATTCCAGAATGCTTGGTTAGAAACTGAGGAGCAGCAGGTACCCAAGGTGCACACAGTTACTCACGCCTTCCCACGCCCCCCAGAAAATAGTGAAAGAAACTACTTACTGCTATGTTTTTGGGTCAAACCCAATGCCCCCAGGAAAAATTGAATAAGGCTTATAGGAAACTGGCCTCGAAGTACCACCTGATAAGTATTCAAGGCGAAAAGTTTAAACAGATTTTTAAAGTTTATGAAGTTCTCTCTAATGTGAAGAAAAGGGAATTATATGGCAAAAGAGAAGACCAATTAAAGAGAGTGGACATCTTTGGTATGTTTTTTGGAGGAAGAGGAAGGATGCAGAGAGAAAGAAGAGGTTAAAATGTTGTGCATCAGCTGTCAGTAACAGAAGATTTATATAATGTGCAACAAGAAAACTAGCTCTGCCAAAGAAAGTGATTTATGACAAATGTGAAGACTGAAGTGATAAGAAAGGAGCAGTAGAGTGCTGTCCCAATTGCCAAGGTACTAGAGTGCAAATAAGAATTCATCACATAGGACCTGCAAATTCAGTCTGTATGCATGGAGTACCAAGGCCATGGGGAATGGATCAGTCCTAAAGATAGATGAAAAAGTTGCAATGGAAAGAAGATAGTTGGAGAAAAGAAGATTCTAGAAGTTCATATTGACAAAGGCATGAAAGATGGCCAGGAGATAACATTCCATGGTTAAGGTGACCACGAGCCAGCACTGGAGCCAGGAGATACTGTCATTGTATTAGATCAGAAAGATCATGCTGTTTTTATTTGACGGGGAGATCTTTTCATGCGTATGGACATACAGCTGGTGGAAGCATTGTGTGTGACTTTCGAAAGCCAATTTTCACTCTTGACAATTGAACTATAGTTATCATATCTCATTTAGGTCAGATTGTCAAGCATGGAGATATCAAGTGTGTTTTAGATGAAAGTACGCCTATTTATCATACACCATATGATAAGGGTCTCTTGCTCATTGAATTTAAGTTAAACTTCCCTGAGAATGACTTCTTATTTCCCGATAAATTCTCTTTGCTAGATTTTTATCTGAGAGGAAGGAAGTTGAAGAGGCCAATGAAATGGAACAGGTAGAACTGGTGGACTTTGATCCAAATCAAGAAAGATGGTGCCATTACAAAGGAGAAGCATATGAGGATGATAAACATCAATCCAGAGGCTGTGTTCGGTGCCAAACCTCTTAAAGAGGCCAGTAAATAACACTCACTGCTGGCATTTCATATGCAGTAGTAAATGAGGGAAGGACTATAATCATAATATGCTCGCTACTTGCTATTGTTTTTGTTTTAATATTCATCTACAGTAGTGCTTTAAAAGTTAAATTAAGAATAAATGCAGAGGACCAGCAGGTGGCGTGGTGGTTAAGGTGCTAGACACTCCCACATGGCCGACCGCGGTTCGAGTACCGGACCTGGTGGCTTGCTTTCTCACTTTCTCGCTCTCTCTTTCTGTGTATCTCTCTCTGGTCAAATTAAAATAAATGAATGAACAAATAAAATTTAAAAAATAATTATAAAAAAAAGAATGCAGATATAAAAGCTCTGACTTTGCCCCATATGTATGATGATGTCAGTGTACAAGATGCAACTTTCATAGCTACAAAACTATTAAGTTCTCCTAGCATTTGTTTTTAAAAAATATAAGAACATAAGGGTACTTTTTAAATTTTTATTTGTTGTTATTATTATTATTATTATTATTATTATTATTATTATTTAGAGCAAGACAGAAAGAGAGAGAAAGGGAAATTGAGAAAGCAAGCTACCAGGTCCAGGACTCGAACCTTGGTTGGCCATGTGGAAGTCCAGCATCTTAACCACTGTGCCACCTGCCAGCCCCACCCTAGCATTTCTTAGGCCATTTTTGGTCATCGATGTCAGCTATGTACCTGGATAAGCTTAGACTGAAATGCCAGATATATGTATTGACTCAGTATATGCCCCATCGTTGTTAAGCTATGAAATTAAACTTCTGTATTTAACTGGCAATCAGGAGGAGTTTTTAAAAAAAAGAGAGAAAGTTAACAGATACAAACTTAGACAATTTCTGTAATCTTCAATGCTTGCTTAGCCTCAAACATGCTATGGCATTTCAAAAGCATAAAAAGTGGACGGTGTCTTCTCCCCCGTGGAATTTCATGATTTAAATTTTTTCTTTTGAACCTAAAGGAAAATCTACATCAGATTCCAGCTGGCTCCATGACTTTTGGCATTTTTCCAATTTGAGCACACCTGACAAGCAAAACAGCTGAGGGTCACCAAATGTAAAACTCTCAGTGCTGCTAAGTCAATTTACACATTAATCAGGTACTCAGGGCTATTAACCTGACTTTTAACACACAAACCAACCACCAACCACCGCAGGAAATGAAAACAACCTCCAACCTAGGTCACTCCATAGGCTTCTCACTAAGAACAGCATTATCCACTTAGAGTAACTGACCTTCGTTTTCATGAAATACACATTTGTCAGTTTCGTGGGAAACCTCCACTTGTGTTTAGCTGCAGCACCTACATACGAGATGCCGCTTCTTACTGCACATTTGCGCCTGCTACATGACAAATATAAAGCAGTTTTTGCCAAACAGTTGTCACCAAGGCGTCGTAAGAACACCCCCAGGAGAAAGGGAACTACTTGTGGCTAAACAGTAACCCGTGGTATTTGCCTGCAACGGAAATATAAGATACCTGATTTTTCATTTCCTGTATAATTAATCCTCCACCCCCACTTTAATCATATTATTATAGATCCGTAAATACAATCCCTCGTAAGTAAAGAACTCTGGTCCTGAAAACAAATAAAAGGATGGCGCGGGTGGCACAGAGATGCAGTTATTAAAAACGGGTTAAACCAGGATCCTCCTAGCATTTCAGATTGGCCAAAGAACCAATCAAAGGCTGCTGCTGACAGACACAGATTGTAAGATAAAAAAGAATAAAAGGCATTGGAATAAAATTTGCTGTAAGTCTTCCCTGGATCAGTCTGTGCTTACAAATTAAAAATCCATGACTGACTCCTTTCATGGCTTCCCCTCCCTTTGCTTAGTCATAAGTCTTTCCAGGATGCAGATGGGATGCAGAGGTGGCTGCCTAGGTGTGGTCGGATTGTAATGCATTGTAGTTTGCATGGTTAGACCAGTTTTTATGTTGAGCTTTCGTTTTGTATTTGTTTCTGAGGGGGAAAGGGGTGTCTTCATTTTATTTTGTTGGTGGGGGTTTACTAGCATTATATTTCAAAAGCTATAGTTTGTTTCTTCTGTGTAATTTTTGTCCCTGGAAAGCCAATAGGATAAAGGTTATATATGGAACCAATGGAAAACTTTGTTGATCAAAATCTGTTCCTTAGGTTAATGTTTATTATTATTGTCATGCTCTAAATCCAACTGCTTGAATAAAAAAACATTTAACATAATCAGTTATGGTGTATTTACAGGATGTGACATTTGATTTGTATTTTTTTTAATATGTGTATTTCTCTAAAGACCATAACACACACAAAGTTTCCAAAAATAAAACAAAGAATTTTAACATTAATGCAACCAGGAAAAGTGAGAAGGCCAATTTCTGGCTAATTGGGTTAAAAATTGTTGAACTCAGTTCTCTTCATAAATAATGCTGCTGCTGATGGTTTCATGATTCCATGTGGAACCAGCCCCTGCTGTGGGGATGCGGTGGGTGTGCATTCCACAGCAGAGCCCCGGAAACACCCACAGGGAGGGTTGTGCGACCAAAGGACCTAGTGAGGACACCATGCCCTGAGAGCCTGTGAGTATGCTTTTGTCTTTCAGGAGCTTTTGAAAAGAGGTTTTCCCAAGTCCATAACATCTGTGGTCACATTAGGACAGGCTTCTCAAACCCAGGGAATGTTCTTTCAGGAGATCTGCCACATCAACTCCTATCATCCAAATGATAAAGCTGGAGAGATCGCAAAGTGACCTAGTCTAAGCTCTTCCTGTACAGATGATACCCAGGGCCTGTGCCGTGAAGTGACTGGCTGGTGATCACACATCCAGGGCAAAACAGGACAAGATTCCAGATCATTCAGGTCCCCAAAGTCGATGAAGTGAAAGGCTCTGTTGTAAGCAAAGATTAACTCTATTAAAATACTTGACCTTAGCAGTTTTATAAATCCATTCAGAAGAAACAAATATGACTATGGAAATGTAAATCACAATGAACGATTTTAAAAAATAATTCAAGATGCAATCAAAGACTTGTTACATAAGAAGCTTCTGAATGAACTATACAAACAATAGTATAACATACAATATAGTATTTTAATAGTAAATGTATAAAATGTATTGAATAGTCAATAGATTTTATGACTAGGAGAGTTTGTCAAGAAAGTTTAGAGATTTTTGTTATAGGCAATAAAGCCTGATAATATGCAGTCCAAAAGAACCCTAGAAACTAGGTTTAGGCATATCCCCCCTGCCCCCATGGGAAACTTTGAAAAGAAGGTCTCTAAGAACCTCCAGTCAATTCATCAAACAGCAAAAACATATGTTGAATAATAAACTTATTTATCTTGTGCATCATTATATCCGAATTTTGGACTTTGAAAAAGAGCCACAACCAAGATCAGAGAGTGACTGAAGTATTTTTTTTTTTCTTCAGCGCCAACATCCATAATTATTTCTCCCTAATTGGAGCTCAAATTCAGAGAGTTATTTGAAGATTATTCATCTTCTAAATTACACATAACTTTTATTTTCCTTAGAAGTTTGTACCATTTTCTAAACATCCACATTACTCCCCTAAATTAGCTGGAAGAGATGGGCTCCCTCGTCTTATGCTAAAGAGATGCACAATAGTGTAGGCAGCCATGCCACAGGCTGGAAGGGATCAGCGAAATCCACAGAAGAGAGACTTTCCACTGGGCTTCTTGGAGGGCTGAAGTGGGAAACTTCACCACAGACACATGCCTGCCAGTCGGTTCTGTCCCATAATTCTGGTGCTGCTCAGGGCCCCACCACCGTGTGAGGAGGTCCTGAGCCCATAATGGCATAGACTAATAGGCTTCAGGAATAAGTTTGAAGAGCAACCATATTAATATTAGGTCACAACGTGGCCCTTATTAAATGAATGCTTCCTTGGGGCTTTAGTTCCATGAGTTGGAACGTCAACCCTGAGTGTTTATAAGTCATATGCCAGAAATTGCTATGAAGGGTAGGGTTTCATTCTAAGGGCTCCAATGTCCAACATGAAACAAAATATGCTGAAAGGCTGAGTTACTTGTATGTTAAACTAGAGAAAGACGTCTCTGCAGGTTGGTAAATAGCTGCTCTCTCAGCCATCCCAGGTCCACTCACCATCATTCAGTGAGGCCATCCCCGTGGAACCTTCTCTATCTGAAAGGCAGGTAGTGCCTGGAACAAGGCCCATATGCAGCTCTAGGGCATAGATTGTCAAATATGTTGAATATTACCCCTGGGTACAAGTAAGTTGCTGAAACCACACAGAGACCACAGAGGGGATAGAATTGAACAATAAAACTCCTTAGAGTTCCACACAGCTAGAGAGAGGAGGGCAAGAAGAGATAGGAAGGAAGGCAACTTAGCCTGAGACTGTGTGGCAAGTAGAGCCATCTCAGGGGTGGGAATGGGACTCTCAGAAGGAGTTGGGGATGTAGGAGAGTAGAGTGGGTCCTCACTCCTCAGGCCCTAGTGACTGTGAGCAGAGACTGCACACCCCTGGCAAGAACCACCCAGATTTCCATTTGTAACACCTTTCCCAATCCCAAATAACCCTAATCAAGAATCTCTATGAAAGTGCATGTTTAAAAGGCCTGTCAAATGCATGAAAGGGGAAATTTGTCTTCGTTTTTAAAAAATGTATTTTTAATTTGACCATCACCATATTTCTCAGTATTTCTCTCCAGGCTGAATTTATTATGAAGTTGTGGAAGTTGTCAGATGTAGTTCTTATTTAGGAAGGCATAGCCATGTGTGATGAGCAGAGACCTTTCAGGGAAGCAGGAGTATTCTCCATACTGTCAATATCCCTTCCTAAGGGTTCCCTCTCTTTCTCTCTTCTCATAAGAAATTGCCACTCAGCCTTTTCTGTCACCAGAAAGATACAGGGTAAGACTTTAACAATTTAGACATAGTGCTGGTTCTGATCCATAACTCCTTATCCACAAGACCAAAATTAAAAAAAAAAAAATTATTGGGATCAGCAATTAGCGTAATGGCTATGTTGCTGAACTCCCAAGTAGTCGACCGTGGTTCAAGTCCTGGACCTGGTGGCTTAAACTCACGCCAGGCGCATATGCGTGCATGCCCAAGATCCCAAGAGGAGAATGGAGGAGAAGGGATTGTGGCATGGCCATCCCCTGGGGGGTGATTTATCGCTTTCTGTCTCTCTGTCTCTCTCTGTCTCTCTGGCAAGCGCATGAGCCCTATAGCAAGAAAAAAAAATTATTAACCCAGCAAAGCATGGTCCCTAAGGGAAAAGAGATCAATCTCCATAATTTACAGATACTCCACCTTCCAGGATGGGTACGTAACTTCCCACTGCATGTGTGTGGATGACTCCCTTCCAAAAAGTGTAGTACTGGAAGGGGAGAGAAAAGCATAAGTTTACAGTGGGGAGACCTGATGAACACTACCTCAGCCAGATGATCAAGGTCATGACCAACAACAATAAGTCATGTTGATGGTATATTCTTTTAATATGTGAAAGATGACACTTGGCTTTTGTGATCTGCTAAGAAAAGCCTGTAGCCCCAGCTTAATCATGAGAAAAATATCAGACAAATCCCAGCTGAGGGGCATTCTACAAAATACCTGACCAGTATTCCTTAAATTGTTGAGGTAATCAAAAACTAGAAAATTCTGAGAAACCGCGACAGCCAGCAGGAGCCTGTGGAAACATGACAAGGAAATGTAGTGGGGTGGGGCTGGTCCACATGGCTTGGTGATTATAGAAGCCAGATCCCACGTGGCTGACCTTGCAGTTTGAGTCCCAAATCCAGCAGCTTGAGAAACATTCTGGGCACATATGCATGTGTGCCCAAACTCCCAGAAAGCGGGAGAGATATAGAAGGGTTTGTGGTGTGGCCATTCTCCATGGGGGTGCTTTTCACCTTTTTTCTCTCTCCCTCTGCCTCTCCATCTCCCTCTCTGGCAAGCACACATGCCCTTCTGGCAAAAATTTTAAAAATAATGTAATTGGGTCTTCTCAGTGAGATCTTGGAACAGAAAAAAGAACTTTAAGCAAAAATTAAGAAAATTTGAATGTAGTATAGATTTCAATTATCATCACAATATGGGTTTATTAATTATGACAAATGTACCATACGAATGTAAGATGTTAACGATAGGGAAAACTATGTACAGGATACACAAGAACTTCCTGTACTCTCTTTATACATTTTTTACAAATTTAAAACTGTTTTAAAGTTTTTAAAGTAATTTTTTTAAAAAACTGACCTGAATTGACATGAGGTTCTTCATAGTGTTGATTTATCGTAGTGTTGATTTTGCTATGGAAATTATAATGCATTTGATGATCTCAAATGTAATATATTGAGCCCCTGCCTCAAATATCCCAGGTATAGTGTAATGACTTATGGATAGATTTAAAAATAGTTAGATTTCTAAAATCAAGAAAATTCTGGCTTCTGAAAACATCTGTCCTCAAAGGTTTCAGATAAAGGATTACATATCTGAAATACTGTTGGCAATAGAAGTAATGCATTTTAGTATACGGTGGTTTTGACAGACATTTTCAGTTTAACCTGAAACTCTTTCTGAGGTTGATAGCAGTGATAAGCATTTATTGTTTACTATGATTTGTACAACTATGTGTATACTAATCTAATTAGGTCCTTAAAATCTGTAAGATAGGGATTCTTATACATTTTCCAAAAGAGGAAAATGAACTTCATAAAGGTTATCACTTGCAAACTGTGACCCAGAATCAGATGTGAGGGACCCTCCTGACACTTTCAGGGCCCATGTAAGAGTACAAATGGAGGTCCCCAGTCGCTGCTCCACCTCTGTTTCTCCTCACCCCTGTCTGGCCCGGTCCTGCACTGTAAAAGTGAACAGCCCTTGAGCCTGTCCCAGGCTAGGTGGTTGCTGCAGTATGCTTGTGCTTCTAGCTGCATTGGCAGGCAGTGCCAGAGTCTGCAGAGCTTGGGAACAGAGGTTTCAGGTGGGCATGTGTTCTTGCACCCTCAGACTTCTCTCTAGGTAAGGAGGGCTGCAGCTGTTAGAAGGGTCAGGGTAGACCTTCCAAAGCAGGAATCGAGGGCAGGGTCCCAGACTCCAGGCCTAAGGACTGCAAGGCTGGTGTTCAAACACAGGTTTGCCAGACCCGAACACTCATGGCTCTTTGTACTATAACATACTGCAAGAAAAATAATAATACACATATTTACACAGAGACCACAATATCAACTTAAAGACTGATTTTTTTAAATGTTTGACAAAAAAAGTATTTATATTTACAGAGAGCTTTATAAATAAAGAGGTTTTTTTGGGGGGGGGTTGTTAGGGGTTTTTTTTGTTTGTTTTTTGTTTGTTTTTGTTTTTGTTTTTCCTATAGGGTGCAAATGCTCACCAGAGAGAGACACACACACACAGAGAGGGAAAGTGAGGGAGCACTCCCCAGGAGGAGAGCTCACACTGCAACACCTTCTCCTCCATTTTCCACAAGTGTCCTGCATGTTTTGGTGGCCTTGTGGGATCAAGCCGCCTTTACCAGCACACCACCTGGTTAGCCCTCCAAGAGCCTTTCTTGAGGTTGGATAGTCATACATCAAGTATTTGAAAAGCACTATAACTCTAAAGTCTTTTGTAAAAATCTGAAATTCTTAGCTACCTAAAAGCCTGAACTTGATTTTTGTATATTTTCAATGAGAGCTTTCTGTGTGCCAAGTAGCCCATTTGTAGGTTAGCTCCTCTTTAAGTGGCAAAGGTTCAAATGGGTGATTTATTACTCCCCACCAATGGGAGAAGAAGGAGGACATAGCATAAACTCCTTCTCTGAAATTCAGAAATGCCTTTCCTATTTACGAAGCATTTTTTGAAATGAACAAATTCCATGTTTTTGCACTGTATCTGCT